ATAAATCCAACCTCTTCTTCTACTACTACTCTGCTCAAAGTATTCCAGAAAGAGCGATGTCTTTCCCAGTTCTGCTGCCTAAGATCCACTAACTGCAGATGGCAGAGGTTGAACCTGGGATGTTCTGCATGATTTGTGTGTGCCCTACCATGGAACTGTATCCTTCACCTACTAGAAGAAGAAGAGATTGGATTTATACCCCACCCTTCACTACCCAAAGGAGTCTCAGAGCAGCTTACAAACTCCTTCCCCTTCCCCTCCCCACAACAGACACCCTGTGAGGTAAACGAAGAAGAAGAAGAGATGGGATTTATACCCCAGCCTTCACTACCCAAAGGAGTCTCAGAGCGGCTTACAAACTCCTTTCCTTTCCCCTCCCCACAACAGGCACCCTGTGAGGCTTAGAGAGTCTAGTGAAAAAAAAAAAAAAAAGGTTTCAAATGCTGGGTGTTTTTATTTCTCTGTAAACGGATAATGATCGTACATAAAGAAAATACTTACTACTTCAGTCAAGTATCTAGCTTCTACGTGAAGGTGGTGAGGCTTAGAGAGCTCTGAGAGAAACTGCTCTTTTTCAAGAACAGATCAGAACTATGGCTTGCCCAAGGTCATCCAGCCAGGTGCAAGTGGAGGAGTGGGGAATCAAACCTGGTTCTCCCAGATTAGAGTCTGCGCACTTAACCACTACACCAAACTGGCTCTCTACACCAAACCACTCTCTAATACTAATAAATAAGCCCTTTAAGAGCATGTCTGCATGGCAACTCACTGTGCACTGGCAAAACGCCTTTCCCCCCCCTGTGTTGGAAAGGTAAACGCTGTAGCTGATGGCTGAAAAGTCACTCCTAATACCACTAACTAGGGAACTGAGTTTGCTCAGAAGTAGACTGACTTCTGTTTTATATTACATGACATTACATTTGCGATTTATATACCGCCCTATCCATGAGGCTCAGAGCGGTTTACAGACACAATTTATATCTAAGCTAGGAGTACAATGTTAAGGGGAGGGTATTTTTCCTAACTGGGCACCTAACAGCAGGATCTTTCTTGGATTCGGCGGTGGATTCGATGGTAGTTCTTTTCCCCCCTCAAGGGCGCAGAAGTCCAGTGTTGAAGTATGGCATATTTATTGATATATTTTTGTTTACTAGAACCCCCACCAGAACATGTGGATTTGCCTTATTCTGTGAGAGTCTGTCGAGGTTAGTTCTGTCTATTCAGACCGGCCGCAGCTCTGCAGAGTCTCACAGTCCTTCACATCACCTCCTATCTGATCTTTTTAACTGGAGATGCCGCCGGGGATTGAACCCGGGACCTTCTGCATGCCAAGCAGATGCTGAGCCACAGCCTTTCCCCTTTGTTGCCACCTTGTTCCTTGCAGAATTAATCAGGTTGTTTCTCCTGCGTTTCTTGCAGAGTTCTTCGGATGCTGCTTACATTGCGAGACACGTTGGGTTGCGCGTCGGAGTGCCGACCCCGGTTCCGGCCCTAACGGTGAACAGGCTCTGCGGGTCAGGTTTCCAGTCCATTGCCAGTGGGTGCCAGGTACGAGATCTGTTGTTTCTTTAAAAAAGTATCTTCCTGAATTCCTCTTGTATGGCCTAGGCTTCAATCAACTCAGTCCTCTATGCTTGCTAGTTGGGTCATACACGTTCAGATAATTGTTCCATCTGGGCCAGCTTTGTATGGGGACTGTAAGATAAAAATGCACTGAATCATCCATCTGTTATAGCTCCAGAATCAGAGCAGAGTGCCTTGCTGTGGTTCTCTGCCGGGATCCTTCTAAATGGGGTTGAACCTGGTGCCTTCTGTATGCAAAGCAGATCCTCTGCCACTGAACCGCGGCCCAGCCCCGTGGTGTCTAATTCATTAGCACAGCGGTTCTCAACCTGTGGGTCACGACCCCTTTGGGGGTCGAACGACCCTTTCACAGGGGTCGCCTAAGACCATCGGAAAACACAAATTTTCAATGGTCTTATGATAGGGCTCCCAAGTCTCGCCAAATTGTGGCGGGGGATCGCATTTCTTTGTCACTGCTCACTTCTTCGCAACTTCTTCATGTCTTCACTTCTGAAGAAGTGAGCAGTGACTCCTGAAAGCTCCTCCCCTGCCACAAATTCTGTTCGTCGTTAAGGTGCTACTGGACTCTGGCTCTTTTCCGCTGTCACAATGTAAAGTACATAATTTCTGACCTGAGTCTAAAAAACCTGAAAGAGAATAAGGTTTTTAGACTCAAGTCAGAAATGATGTATTTTATATTGTGATTAATTGTACTTTATGGTGTATTTTAATTACCTGTACCACTGAGGTACAGTCTAATTCGTTAGAACAAAGTATCTCCCAAGGTGCCACCACAATGCGGATTGCTCCCTCTTTTCCCGCATTTAGCAGTCAGTGTATAGTTTATACAGGGGTGCCTCCTGTAACACCCACAAGGTAGTATATATTCATTAGGTACTTCTTTTTGTAGCCTGTCTTGGAGACCTAAGTGGACCATAGCCTGCCAGTAGCTTGGCTTGGGTCCATCATTCCCCCCTCCTCCATTTTACCCACAACAGCCTTGTGAGGTAGGCTAAGCTGAGAATATGCGACTGGCCCAAGGTCACCCAGCAGGCTTCCATGGCAAAGCGGGGATTCAAACCTGGATCTTTAGTCCAATACTCTTAACCATACTGGCATCTCCTCCCTCTAGTACTGGCACTCCCCTCTCTGGTGCACCAGTTTCCATTCCTGTCTCCCAAGTTCTCCCCACCCCAATCTTTTAGTTTCAGAGTTCATATTATCACTTACATTGGAAGACATATTGAGTTGGAGTCCCTCTGAAACTTAGGAATAATGAATCTACTGTGCTGTTTTCAAACAGGAAATCTGCCTGAAAGAATCGGAGGTGGTGTTGTGTGGCGGAACGGAAAACATGAGCCAGTCTCCATATGCAGTCCGGAACATCCGCTTTGGAACAAAATTCGGAACCGACCTGAAGGTTTGGGCGATGGCTGCTTTGCTGTAGTGGTTCTTGGTATCTATATGCCTAATTCCCAATTGTGCCCCCTATATGCAGATATCTAGATCCGCAGATAGGGGGCGCACTTACCACAAATAGACTTTTCAGAAAACTTGGGTAACCTCCTAGGTTTGCAGGAAAATCTGAAAAGTTTTTTAAAAATTGCATTGGGGCGTTTAACCCCCCCCTCAAAAAAAAATTAAAAGTGTCACCCGTGCAGGCGGAGGCTGTCGCTGTGGTGGCAACGTAGCCTGGGAGCTATTGGCAGGCCTGGCCTGCCTGGAGCTGCACCAGACGAGCTGCTGAAAGCCTCGGTGGGCTTTCCTGGAGCAGCTCCAGGTAAGCCATTAAGAGCGGGGGAGGAGCCTCAGCAGGCCAGCTGGAGCGGCCACAGGGTGAGCCATTAAGAGCAGCAAAGGAAGAAGAGAAGAAGAAGAAGAGATTGGATTTATACCCCGCCCTTCACTACCCGAAGGAGTCTCAGAGCAGCTTAGACTCTCCTTTCCCTTCCCCTCCTCACAACAGACACCCTGTGAGCAATGTTCCTTCTAAGCTGAGTTAGTGTGAGCTAGCTCACAGTTTTTTAGCTTCTGGCTCACACATTTTTGTCTCAGCTCAGGAAGGAGGGCTTCAGAGGAAACTAATTTAGGCAGTAGCCAAATTGCACACTCACAGCTTTAATGCCAGTAGCTCACAAAGTAGAATTTTTGCTCACAAGACTCCACTGCTTAGAGGGAACATTGCCTGTGAGGCAGTTGGGGCTGAGAGAGCTCTCTCGAGGACTGCTCTCGAGAGAACAGGTCTGAGAGAACTTGTGACTGGCTCAAGGTCACCCAGCTGGCTGCATGTGGAGAAGTGGGGAATCAAACCCGGTTCTTCAGATTAGAGTCCACTGCTCTTAACCACTGCACCAAACTGGCTCTCGGAGGTGGGGGGGGTGGGCTGGCTCGCCTGGAGCTGCTCTGGGCAACCCTATGAGGAAGGGGAGTGAAGGTCTCAGTAGGGAGGTAGAAAGAGAGCAAGAGATTGGTGCTGGGAGCAGAAAGAGCAAGGAATGGAGAATGATGAGGTGGGGGACAGACATGGGGGTGAGAGTAAGAGAAGGGGGGGCAGGATGGAGAAAGGGGCGGAAAAGTCGGGGGAGAGGGGCGGAAAGAACGGTGGAGGGGATATATAAATAAGCCAAACACAGCCATGTAGACCACAGTCCCAATCACTCCTCCAAGTAAGTTTGTGAACCGTATAAATAATAAAATGTGTTTGCCTGTTCCGCATAATGTATTTTTCTCGCACTGGCCATAGGCATAACGGACATTGATGGAGAGTGCCGGATCCTTCTGCTCTGAACTGACAGATCATGGGGCGGGGGGAGCTACTTTGCCACCTTCCAGCCTCTCGTTACGTTATTTCATTTCAGAGAGGGTTCCTACCTTTGAGTCTTCCCGCTATAGCCACAAGGAGTAACATTTTCCAGTTTTAAGAAGTGTTTCGGGGCACCGTTTCTACCACGAAGTAATAAATACTATTATGGGCTTGTTTGCTGTAATGTGGATGCAGAGGAAAACTGTAGGACCTTCTTGTTTTAACTGTGTTAATTTGAACTTGGAAACGTGTGTCTTGGAATGTTGTTCACTGCCCTGAGCCCTGTATAGGGGAGGGCAGTCTACAAATCAAATCAGTCGATCAATAAATGTACAAAACCCGGCTTATGAGTAAGTTTGTGACTCGTAATGCTAGAAACATAGAAAAGTGATGCTCTTTGTGTACCTCTGCTGCTTTGACACATGGTTTAGGTGTGTGTCGTCCCCCCCCCCCCTACAGATGTTGAATGCAAAGAATTACACCATAGGCAGTTAAGTAGTAAAAAGTCCAGTAGCACCTTTAAGACTAACAAACTTTATTGCGGCATAAGCTTTTGAGACGCACAGCTCTCTTCATCAGATGCCTGCCTCTGACGAAGAGAGCTGTGTTTCTCGAAAGCTTATTATGCTACAATAATGTTCGTTAGCCTTACAGGTGCTACTGGGCTTTTTACTGTTTTGCAGCAACAGACTAACACAGCTAACTCCTCTGGATCTATGACCATAGGCAGTTGTATCTTGTAATTGTGTTATTTTACCGTGATGCGATTCTCTCCCTTTCTGCCCCTCCCCTGGCAGATGGAAGACACCTTATGGGCAGGGCTGACGGATCAACACATTAAAACCCCGATGGGCGTCACAGCTGAAAATCTAGCCGCAAAATACGACATCACGAGAGAAGACTGTGATCGCTACACAGTGAAGACTCAGGAGAGGTGGAAGGCGGGTCGGTATAAAGGGTTAAGGTTTGAACAGACACCCTCTGTTTGAATTAAAGGCCCGGGACTCACAAGCAGCTGATGGGTTGCTAAGTCCTCGTATGGACTGCACCACTTCAGATGGCATAGGGTGACTCATGTGGCCAGAGGATGTGGGGATGGCCACAGGTATAAACAACTTTAAAAGTGGACTAGATTGATTCATGGAGGATAAGTCTGTCAAGGGCTGCTAGCCATGGTGACTGAGGGGAACCTCCCAATTCAGAGAGCCAGTTTGGTATAGTGGTCAGGAGCGCGGACTCTAATCTGGGAGAACCGGGTTTGATTCCCCACTCCTCCACATGCAGCTGCTGGTGTGACTTTGGGACAATTACAAGTTCTTTCCGAGCTTTTCTAGAGCAGTTCTTGAAAGAGCTCTCTCAGCCCCACCTGCCTCACAGGGTGTCTGTTGTGGGAAGGGGAAGGGAAAGGAAAGGAGTTTGTAAGCCGCTCTGAGACTCCTTTGGGTAGTGAAGGGCGGGGTATAAATCCAATCTCTTCTTATCTACCATGGAGCCACGGCCCCTCTATCCCAAACCACAAGCTGGTTGCGACTTGGTGGCACTTAATTATCGTACTCTTGCTTCTTTTGCTGCAACAGACTGCCATGCCCACTGTGACGCTGTCTTCCTGTATCTGCTCAGAAATAATTACACCGGGTTGTTCAAAACAGCACACAGACAAGAAACTCACACTTCCTGTTGAGAGTCGGAGCGTGTTCAGTCCTGTAGTGAACAAAAGATAGCTCACATGTTGTGCGCGTTTGCTGCAGCAGGGTTCTCGAGGCACTACTTGCAAGTCCTCAGTCATCCCCGTTAGCTTTAAGCGCTCCCTGCATTTGGGTGGCCGGAGCAACTGGGATTTGCTGGATGGAGAGACTGAACCAGGGGTCATTTCGTACAAAAAGAGGTGCAGGGGCTCATTAGCATAACTTATTTGCATGTGCCACACCCCCTGACATCACCGGAAGTGTGTCAGAAGGCAACAGCCACCGCTCCGGCTCCACTGGACTGTTTTGGATTGCTAGCTATTGGGTGGGGGGGACGTGCAGATCTGTCCTGGCAGAGGAGGGAGAGCTTGTACCTGAATAAAACTTGGTCTTAAAGGTGCCACTG